TGCCAGAATAGGGATCTATCGTAAATCATAGGGTTTCTTTATTTCTGGCAACTTAAAAAACCCTAAACCCTAAACCCTAAACCCCTTAACAAGAACCCAGGTGCTGCACCACGCAGGGAAAAGCCTCACCATCAAGACCCACTCCCAGCATCCCAAGGGCCGCAAAGCGGATCCCAGATCCAAGCTGCCACGGGACGAGAAGCTTTTGTCATCGTTGGGCAGCGTGGTTTTTGCTTTTCTGTTTCTTTTTACATACTTCTTAAGGGTGCTTAAACTCAACAGGGAACAGAAGCTGGATTTTTCAATCTTATCTAAACCATGGACCAGGAAGATGTCGGCGCTGCAGCAGGACGCCAAGGGGAAGGTACGTGGTGACGACGACCCGGAACCTGCAGGCAGCATCGCCTTCGGCGTCTCGGACCAGGAGGGGAACTATGCTACGCGGCTCATTAGCCAGTGGAATGGCAGGGAGACAGACACCAGCTCTTGCTTGGCCTTCGCACCGAAGCACAGGGAAGGCAGCAACGATCAGGCCCTGAAGTCAGACTGGCAAGGGAACAGCGATGACGCTTTCATCCCCTTGGAGCCATTTGGTGTACCCTGCGACAATGACTGGATGAAGGATCATTGGGACAAGTGGCAGGGCTACTCCTTCTATGTCTGGGAGATGGCCATCGAGAAGTGTGTGACTGTGACCTTCAGTCTCGGCCTGCAGCCCGCGCTCGCCTTCGTGGGCGGCATGAGCTTCGAGCTGATGCCGGCGCCTTTGGCTGAGCTGGACACCACGGTCTGCTGGCCGGACAAGCAACCCGGGGGCGTGGACTTGAGCGTCTTGCGCTCCGAGATCCGATCCGGCGGCATCATGCTCTTCAGCCGAACCCTCCGCCTGCAGAAGAGGTTCGGGAGTGGCACGGACTTCGTGGACAGCAACATCTTCGGGGCCCACGAGACCTGGCGGAACCCGCTTGGCACGGCCACTGGCAGTCACGGTGTCGAAGACGATCGCACCGTGGAAACCATGTCCAGGTCCTCCCTCCTTGCAACGAACCAGACCTCCCAAAACAGCCAAAGCCATCAGAGTCCAAAGGAAAAGCCGGCGCAGCGCCAGCCTCCGACAAAAGAGGAGCTGCACTGGGAGACGGATCTCGAGGAGCTCTACCTGGCTGCCGGCCACTACGGGAAGGACCTTGGAATCAAGAAGACCTCCGAGCTGCGTGGAGAAGACGTCCTGAAGCGCATGAGGGAGCTGAAGGCTAAGAAGGGCTTGAGTACTCTCCAGGCCGACGCGGAGTCCGGCACGGACTACCACCAGCTTTTCAGCTTCAAGAACCCCGGTCCGGTCTCTTTCGAAATCCTCGGGCTTCTTGAAGACAACAGCTTGGAGCTCGGCATGAAGATCGACTTTGGCCCTTTCGAGTCCCCTGAGAAGCGGATCCCCTTGCTCAACATCGTGGACCAGTTCACGCTGGTTCTGGGAGTTATGCCTTGGGTGTCACCCACGAGCAAGCTGAAGGCCATAGCCTCTCTGAGAGACTTCGGAAAGCAGGACATCAGCACGGTCCTGCCAGAGGTGCCTCCGCCAGAGGTCAACCCGGGCTCCATCATCGGCCTCTACAACCCTCACTGGAGCCGCTGGGTTCGAATGGGTGGTGAACATGGTGATGTCGTGGATCGCTCCGGCTCGACGGCCTTTGATTCCATGCCCTCGGACTGGACCTGGGAGAAGTTCGCCGTGGTGGACGCCGGGGATGGCTTGATTGCGCTCCACTGCCCGAAGTGGAACCGCTTCTTGTCCCTGAACCCCGAGGGTGGCGTCTATGGAAGCCCCAACATGCCTGCCAGCCAGTTCCCATCCGACTGGACCTGGCAGAAGTTCAAGGTGGTCTACGCGGGCGACGGCATGATCGCCCTTCATTCCCCGCGTCACAACCGCTTTGTGAGCATGACCGATCACAGCGTGCAGGCCACGAATCACAGAAATGAGGACAGCGTGCAAGAGAGTTGGACATGGGAACGCTTCCAGGTGCTGCGAACCCGATGGCTCTTGCAGCCAGGAACCGTGGTGGGCTTCCATAACGCAATCCACAACTGCTACATCAGCATGGGCTCAGATGGGTCTATGCACCCAAGCCCCCCAAGGGACTACGGCGAGGAGCTGCCCGAAAGCTGGACCTGGCAGAGGTTCATGGTTTAGTGGTTTGAGGGTTTAGGGGGTTAGGGGTTTTGGGTTTAGGGTTTAGGGGTTTAGGGTTCAGGGTTTCAGGGGTTTAGGGGTTTAGGGTACTTGGCAGAGGTTCACGGTGGTGGATGCCGGGAACGGCGAGTATGGGCTTCACAACGCGAAGCACAACAAGCTCCTGGGCTCCTTTTTTAAGAGGCTTACCATAAAAGAAGGAGCCATCTTCATTTACCATAGATCCCTGATGGTATCCCCTAAACCCTAAATTCTAAACCCTAAGCCCTAAACCCTTAAATCCTAAACCCTAAACCCCTAACCCCTAAGCCCCTAAACCCTAAACCCTGAAACCTATGATGGTAAACCCTAAGCCCCAAACCCTAAACCGCAAGCCCTAAGCCCCTAAACCCCTAACCCCTAAACCCCTAAACCCTAAACCCTAAACCCTAACTTCCCTTAACAAAGAAACCCCAGGTTCTGGAAGATGACCGACGTCGCGACGATGATCGCCAGCGTCCCGAAAGCGGCTCCTGGGTTCTTGCTAAGGGATTTAATTTAAGGGTTTAGGGTTTAGGGTTTAAGGTTTAGGGTTTAGGGTTTGGGGCTTAAGGTTTAGGGTTTAGAATTTAGGGTTTAGGGCTTAAGGTTTAGGGTTTAGGGTTTAGTTACCATAAAATAAGGAAAACCGGGGTTCTTGTTAAGGGGTTTAGGGTTTAGGGTTGTGGGTTTAGGGTTTAGGGTTTAGGGCTCAGGGACCTAGTTTAAGTTACCATAGCAAGGAAACCATATTATTTACTATAGATCCCTATTATGGCAACTTAAATTTAAATATCCCTTAACCCTAAACCCTAAACCCTTTTAGTCCCTTAAATCCCTTAACAAGAACCCTTTTAAACCCTTAAATCCCTTAACAAGAACCCTAAACCCTAAACCCCTTAACAAGAACCCTAAACCCTAAATGAAGTCCCTTAACAAGAACCCTAAAGCCTAAATCCCTAAACCCTAAACCCTAAAACCTAAATCCCTTAACAAGAACCCTAA